GCAGGAAGCACTTCCAAACAGAATACAAGAAACACACCACGGAAAATGTTAAGCAGAGCTCTAAAATCACTGAAGCATCCATTACCCAAAATCACAACACTTCTACATTAGTTACGAACAATCCTCAAATGTTTGATATTTGAGTGATCTAGATTATATTTCTCTGATCTCTAGCCAGAGATTTAACATTTATTACTTAAGCAAAGGTGCCTTTTAACATGCTTTATGCTTCTACTCCATAACAGATTTCTTTAATTAAACCTGTCACTACCACACTTCTAGCTTAAAAAAAGTGATCTTTACCTCTGGCATATGTCTCTTGCCTCATTACGCATTGTTTCGTCTCCATCCGAGTAACCTGCTGCCCTCAGGCCTATTAGCTACCTACAGTACTTCCATAACCTTTACATAACAACTCCCTGCTTGATTTCACAAGAATGATGCATGAAAATTAACTAATACAAAAAGACCATACAAGTCTAAAATTTACTTGGTTAGGCCCTGATTGAGAACTTCAGCACATTCTTACCTTGTACCAAGTTTCAACACCAGCTGTGCATTTGCTTTCAGCTGCAAACAGCTCCTGAAAAAAAGTCCTATACACCCCTACTTTTTTCTTAAATCTTGTAGAATATGATATGAAAAGGATACTTGCAGCATGATTCAGATCTTATTTTTTTATTTCTTTGATTTTAGTTTCACATTACTATGTTCACCAACAGACCACAGAAACCTCCCTCAGTATTTTTCTCAATGAGGAGCTCTGTGTCAGCGCAGGAATCCCTGAACAGCTGTTACCCACTGCAGAACTGAAGCTTGCCTTATGGAACTTCCTTGATTATATTTTTTCAAGAGTCTACTACTGTAGTCATTTAGCTCATAAAGCTACTCACCGTAAGAGTCATATGTTTCTTCACTCAGCCCGTGGCCATAGTCATAGTAATCTGCTCCACTGGAGGGGAGGAGGGATGTAAGAAGAAGAACAAGAAATAAAACAGTTACATTTTAAGCAGCAATGCTTATCATTACACATTCTACCTTTGAAAAGAAGAAAGCTTGAAGGATATAGACATGCCCTAAGGTAAGAAAGGCAAGCATCTATGGGACAATGACAACTTAGGTGCCATTTGTTCATTAATTAGAAAAAAAAAAAACATTTTATTTAGGATTTTTTTTCATCATTGAGCCCCTGGTCCACAGTGTAAATGTGGATGTGGGAATTTTATATTTTAAAGTATACTTATAGTTGGGAAGGGTGAAGATCTTGCAAGTGCCAATGAAAAGAGTAGGAGGTGTAAGTACCAAACCAATTCATTTGTTGTACACACTTTTCATGACCTACTGTTGCCTAGTACTTTGCATCTTTGAATTCACTGATAAAAATGCCATAAAGGACAAGCAACTTGCTGATCAAAGGGTTAGATAGATGCTATACACGTACAAGTTCCAGTGTCTTCAAAACAAGACAAAGATGCACGCATGTAAATGCTATCAGTTTAATAGGCAGACAAGAAATGACAATAGGAACTAAGTTAAAAGCAGATAGGTGCAATCATTAGGATTAAAAAGTATGTAAAAATACTATAACCATGGCCTAAAACAGTTCCATTTCATGATGGCATTTCTATTTGTATTAAGACTACTGAACAGAAAATGAAGAACAAGCCTTACTATATAAGACTTTTCCATTATGATTTCATATTTCACGTAAGTGTAGCTATGTATAGTTTTTTACATAGTTGACAGAACAAAAGTCTATTAGACATGTTTGTTGGACATGAAAAGCAAGTCGTTTAATTGTTTCTTTCCTTTTCTTTCTAACCACAGCCAGACCCAGGGCTGATATTTGGAAAATACAAACTGATGCTACCATGTCTTTACCTTCTGAGTGAGAAGGAAATCACTAATACATGATCACTAGTAAGTAATTACTAATGTTGACAAAATGTTTCTAACATTAGATTGATTGCTAACAAAATAAAAGCCAGACAGAAAAAGCAATTTATAGCCTTAACATGAATTAGCAAGTAAAGCATTTATGTACAACAAATAACACACCACAATTACTTCTAAACCAACACAAGACAAAGATTGTTTGTTGTGTTTGGGTTGAGTTTTAGTCTGGGGTTTGGGTTTTTTAAAAACTAAAAAAAGTTTTAAATCCCACAAAATAATCCAGGCAAGAAATAATATGGTTCTGGTGTGTGCAAATGCTTATCTAAAAAGTCCTAAGAACACAAAACAAAACTTAACCAGAATGCACTACAAAGACCCACAAAAATTTTGCCCTGCAGCAGCCAGTGATAAAACAGTCTTTATTCTGACAACTAACTTAAAACCGACATTCACTGTCCTTCCACACAGTACTTTATTATTTATTTTAAGGCTGTCACCAAGTTTAGAAGCCTATAGCAGCCAAGCCCTATCCCCATATCTGTCAATCCTGTCAGAATGACTTTTCATTTCATAAATCTGAAATATCTATTAAACAAAAAAATGATTCATTTTACAACATGTAAACTGGAAAACAAATAAACATCAGAAAGGAAAAATCTTTTACTTATACTGAAAGTATATAATGACCTGTCTTTATTAAGAGACAAACCCTTCAAAATTAATAATCTGTTCAAAATGCACAAGCTAGAATGGCAAGTAAAGTTGTGTGGCGCAAGTTGATAGTCTCTACTCTGTCTGCTTTCACTTGTGCTCTCTGAACAATGCCAACGCTCTCTCAATCCAACTGTACCTTGAAACAAATGCAAAACTGCAGATAAGAAAACTGAAAGACTATGACCCAAAGAGAAGGGTACATACAGATGGCTGTAAGGAGTTCTGGGTAAAAAAAGAAAACATTAAAGAGATTGGTTTTTGTTTCAGTTGTAACAGAGTCTGAATAGCCCATGGAGTTCACAACCAAGACCAAAGATAACTGAAGGTTTTTTTAAGAGGAATCACAGAAAAATAGAGTACTGCATATGAAGTTACAGTTTACAGAACTGTATTTTTTTTTTCAAAGCAATCCCCCGCTAAAACGAAACCTAGTCAAAGGAACTTGCAGTATCAAAGCTATTTTTAATTGTAGACTGACAATTCTCACTGACAAGTGAGAAGACAGAGACGTCTAACAAAAAAAATGCTTTGGTGTTCCATGTCAACATAAAAACTTGGAACCACCTGATGGTATGGAAGGTTTAACAAACAACAGTAAACTTAACTATGCTGCTTCTAATTGCTGAGGGTTGGCCATTGATTCTACAGTGCTTAGAGGATATGTGAAATGAGGCTTAAGTTGTTTAAATAAAGCCAGGGGAAGTGCCTGTTTTATCTGTTCAAAAAACAGCCAGAGAACAAGAGTAATCTCAGATTTTAGCACTGCATCACTGATGAAGTGAAGCCTCAGAGGGTTTTTTTTTAATCCAGTAAAACAGAGGACTGGGAAGCTTCCTGCCATTTTTCTCAAACCACTGTGCTGTGAGAAGTGTAGAGGTATTCAACATAAGCCTTCAAAGGTCTTATGGAATAAAGACCTGAATTTCTCAGGCTTTTCTGCTAAGCTGGTTGTTTCTGAAAATATCTTGATGAACCATAAGAGAAGTGTAAATCTTTATAAAAAAACAAATAGCAGTAACCGCTCGTGACATGACGGTTAAGGCTTAAGTCTTACGTTTTATACTGTATTAGACGAAATAAGTTAACAGTTAGAGATATTGGGATATTCTCTTGGGACAGATATCTACAGAATGGTAGAGTTTCAACCTAACACTCATGAAGATCTCGGAACAGGCCATTAGGCTATTTTTGTGAGAACCCTGGAACAGGCATGTCAGCCCTGCAGTACAAGTGGTCTGTGGCATTTCCAAAAAGTGCACAAAAGGTACACAAAATACATTGTGATTAATGAATGCGATTGCCACGGCCATTTACATTTAGTACAGGCATCTTTTACAATCAGCATTATGCCATTTCCGTGTTTGAAGCAAAAGCAGTATGGCAGGGAGCCTGATTGCTCAGGGGAGAAAGCTTCTCTGATCGAAAGCTTCTAGTTTAAAGGAAAAGCCCATACTTAAGTGTTGACGATCCTGGTTACTGGGTTTAACCACTGAGTAACTGAATTTTCTTCCTCTCCAGTAATGACAAACAGCTTTTGCAACCAGCACAGCTTCTTGTAATGCTTACTATGGAAAAATGGCAAAGTCCCAACAACTCTGCTTTTTCTTTTGCACATTGGTATCATAAGTAGCTTTAAAGCTGATCCCTTTAGACAGAAGCCAGCACAGTTCCAGAAAGTGACCAAAAAAACCTTCAACACAAAGGTTTCCTTTTGTGCTAAGAGAAACTCCACAAGCATCACCTTTGTCCTTCTACACAGGGGTTGCACAGAACAGCAGCAAAGTAGAAAGAACAAATGAGGATCTCTAGCAAGAGGTCTTATACAATAGACTGACTGATATGATTGCATCTAAACAGAACTCTTCCACAAGGACAAGCCTTTTATCATTCCTACTATCATCTTCATGCTCAGCTGCTTCTGATAAAAAAAAATCCACCAGCAGTAAACCAGAAGAAGAGTGTCCCAAATGTTATTGTCAAGACAACAATCACTAGTGAAGCTTCTCATAACTCCATAATTGTCTTGAACACTGACTTGAGTATCTGTTCTTAATGCTTCTGTGGATCATTAGAATCTGTAACCCAGGTAACAGCAGGATAGCATGAAACCAGGATATATCAAGAGGAGATCCACATCTTCTCTTGCATCTTGCAGATAGATTTTTATTTAATGCCCCATTCTGCTCATTCTTAGAAGAAATTTCTTTGGTATGTCCTCTCATTCCTGCATCTCAGTTTATGCTGCAAACTGATAATGATCTCAGAAAGCAACTGAGACCTCTGTGTGAAACCTTTATAAAATACAGAAAAATGATGTAATCTTCCTTAAATTATACTCTATTTTACTCTCATATGGATAATACAAATAGAAAATCTATTACCTATAATCCTAAAAGATGACTGGAGTGCCCCCTCAAGGATTCCCTTAGCTATCACTATTTAGAAATTACTTTTTATGTCAGAAATTGTAATAAATTTCACTTCTGTAGAAGAGTGAAATGCCCTCAGAGGCATCTGCTTTCTGATGCTACCTACCAGGCACAGAACCACATCTATCTACATATTTCTAGCAAAACTCTGTACAGCTCTAAAGCTAACAGTTTTACTATCTGAAAAGTCCCGTTTTTGCTGTCTGTGAACACATTCAGTCTTTTTTTCACCTAACTCCACTCATGTCCCATCTCTCAAAACAGGAAAGGTAAATGGCAAGTAGCAGAAGTGACTGGTGTACATGGCACAAACAAGGCTTCTTCTCAGAAACAGCAGCAGCAGGGATCTATAGCTTTACCTTGAAACTATTAACAGAATACAGCAACAATCCATTCCTAAAACATGAGAAACACTAAATGAAATGTCAAAAATTCACTACATCAAAAAAGAAGCTCCAGCCAAAAAATTTTAAACTCAAACTTCCTAAACATTAGCATTTTGTTTCGGCTTTTGAATTAGAACGAAGTCACAACCATACCCACATCACATTTGTTTTGCAAAGCAGTTTGGGGGAAGCAAACTAGACTGCTATCATAGGAAATGAAATAGGAAGTATTAAAGTATGCAGGTGCATACCAAATATGCTCCAACTGCTAAATAGAGAACAGAGATGTGACCCAACATGAACATTAACACTGGAAAAGGATGTGTTTTCTTCCCGTTCCCTCCAAATGGACCAGACTACTCAGGAAAATGAAAGCAGCAGAGAATGACGACGATCTGACAGGTATCACTCAAAATCTTTAGACTTTTCGTAATACTGGAAAAAGCTGTGGGTACTCTTCCATCTAATTCTTGGTTAGCCTTCTTGAGTCCTGTGTAAGATGATGCTAGAGATCCAACATAAAATTA